CCCCGCCCCTATTAATGGCTTTGGGCTGGGTCAGGCTGCCGTCTAACGGGCTTTGGGATGCATCAGCCTGGTTGGACGGAAGAGAAGGAAGGGTGGGTTCAGGTGCGGAGATGGAAGAACCCTTGATGCTCTGTCTCTAGCGGGGGCCTGCCCGTGTGGCTGCTGTGAGGGGAAGTACCCCGCCCCTATTAATGGCTTTGGGCTGGGTCAGGCTGCCGTCTAACGGGCTTTGGGATGCATCAGCCTGGTTGGACGGAAGAGAAGGAAGGGTGGGTTCAGGTGCGGAGATGGAAGAACCCTTGATGCTCTGTCTCTAGCTGGGGCCTGCCCGTGTGGCTGCTTGGAGGAGAAGTGACATGGCCCTATAGAAGGAGGAAAGGCTTTTCGGGTTTGTGGCCCAGCCCTGCAAAATCTCACAGTCCCCCCCCCTTCCGCTTATTCTTTGTTTTCCTCTTATTCTAGCTTGGTCTTTGGCACTTTGTACCCTGCCTATTCTTCCTACAAGGCCGTGAAGACGAAAAATGTGAAGGAATATGTAAGTGTGAGGCAGTTACCACACCCTTGATTTAAAGGCCATCCTGTTTCCCTCAAATACTAACACCCCACCCCCGGGAAATTATATAGACAGATAGCTGGGGTTGTGTTCCAAAGCAATGCTGTGGTTTCTGAAATCTTTTTTGAATATAATATGCAAAAACACAGTTGAGCATCTTGGATGTTTTTTTACACGTATTGTTAATGGGTAGACTAGCAGAAGGCAAACTGAATGTACACCCTAGTCAATTTAGATTTAACAGTTGCATTACAGATCTGTGTAAGCACTGAATGATCTAAGTGTCACATGTGAAAATTCCTTGGGGAGCTTCTTAGGGTGTTTTTTGCAAGTGACTTAATAGCAATTTTTTTATCACTTGGTGATGTCACCACTTGTCTAATTTGCATTGGCTGTAAAGGTTACAGCTAGTACTGCCTAGTCTGGAAAATCAATAAAGTGCTTCTAATGATAGGTCACGCGAAGCACAAGGAGGTTGAAATGTGAATGAAGATGGATTTGCAATCAATTTTTAAAAGATTTTTGTACATTCAAAGTTATTATTTATATAAAAGAATAATGTCAAAGGCTAAAAAGTTTTTAGATGTAATTTTTTTAAAAATGCCCTTTGTTACAGCTTTCTTGTGGTTTCCATTTATTTTATTTAGGGGGTTTCTAAGCTGTCGTTTGACCTAACAGGGTCCTCAAGGTGATTAAGAAGATAAAATGTAAATAGCCTCATATTACATAAAACACACATGACGCTTAGATTACTCAGTGATTACACAGGTCTGTAATACAATTGTTAAATCTAAATTGACCAGGATGTTGTCTCATAGAACTCAAAACCTTAAAAATCAAACAATAAAATTGCAGCAGATAGGGATTTCAACAACAGTGTCATCTTCAGACTTAACCCAGTCCAAAGGCTTTCTGGACAAGTCTTCAGTCAGAACTAGAAGGCCTCTAACGGGCAGTACCAATCTTACCTCCCAAGAAAGGGCATTCCACAGAATGGTATTTAACAGAAGTTACACTAGTTGCCATCTAGAATATTAGGACATTTTCACAAGTGATGCTGTGAATCTCCTTCAGTGTAGGATGCCATTTCTGAAAAATGTGTAATAGCAAAATAATAATAGTAAATTACAAAATTTCAGAGACTACTCTTAGCTATCACTCGTGAAAATACCAACAGTATATTTAGAATTTAGTGCTCAGGCACAATTCAAGTTGTTGGGGAGGCTGGATGAAGGGGAATGAAAAATGGTATTTTGGAAATGTATGCAAATTGAGAGAAATAAATGAGAGAAGGGGTAGATCAACTTTAAGAACAGCATTTGTGTTTTACTCGTGCATCCTTTTTTTTTTACGGTTGTATGCTTCACTGTATAAAATAAAGAAAATGCATTCCTTATGTAACAAGTTGACTAATCTTGACTACACTATTATTGGGACTCGTAAACTTCAGTTATAGGAAAACTGTAACATTGATTGCTTTTGAAAATCTTTACCAGGAGGCTTTATGAAACATCTCCAGAAAGTGAACTATTTAGGGCTAGTTGGGTTCCATTTTGCAGAGGACATCTCTACTGATTTACTTTCGGACAGCTGTATTTGATATACTTACTGAGTGAATCTAATTCTCTGTATCTGTCTTTTCACCACTATTTTGGAGAGCTCATTAGGCTGAAGCAGATGGGGCATTGTTCCTTGCCCCTCTTAAGAAAAGGGTACTTAATTTTTCTTAATGGTGTGGTTGGTAACAAGCCATTTTCTGGTAATCCTCAGAACAATCCTGCAAAGTAGATCAATATTACTGTCCCCAGGGTGTAAACAGTGGTCTGACTGAGGAGCTGTGGTTTACCTAATCTCAAAGTTACTTGGGTATTTGAAGCAGTGATGAGAATGGACCTGGGGACATTCTGATTTTACTGCCACTCACCTTTCCAAATGTACAGTAAACTCTTCTGTTGTTGACTTGCTGTCAGAGTTGTGAACTGATGAGTAAAAAACTTACCAATAAAGCAGGCACAGCCTTTTTACAGTGTAGAAACCAGCATTTAATGTTTGCAAATCAAGCTGATCATAAAGACATAGGATCATGGGATGGTTGAAAAGTTAGCAACCTTATTTGTGAAAGATACTTTAAGAAGGAGCTCAGAAATTTCACTCAAACCTTTTGCTTTAGGAGTAAAAAAGTTATTGTACCCAACAAGGATGGGAAGGAGAGCAGTAGAGAAGGACGCCTACAGCCACTTCCTCCTCCTCCTCTGCTGGGCTCCATGCCCATCCAGTTTGCAGGGCAGCAATGGCTCCTTGCCTGCCTGGGGCCTCAGTGACTCACCAGGCACCTGGCCTGCTGTCACCCCCCTGCTGCCATTCCATAAAGGAGAAAGGAAGAGAGCAAGTAGCTCCCCACCCAGCTCACAGAGTGGCAGTGACTGGGCTCCTTCTTCCCACCAGGCTAAGGTGTAGTGATTCAGGGTGTGCCCAGCCCAGGTTCATGCATGACCAGGTCCATATCATCAACCCATAGCAGCTCAACTTATGGTGCCCCAGGTCTGTGCGCCCGCCCCCACTGTGTAAGCTCAGGTCCCTGCATGCCTGTCCAGGAAGCTCTGTGCCCACCTCCTTCCAACCTACTTCTTCCTCTCTCTGGCTGAGTGAGGAGGGCCAGCACATGAGGATCAGGACTTGGGAGAGCCCCGAAAAAGGTGCCAGTACTCAGTATTGGTGTGCACCATCAAAAAACCAGCTCTGGTTATAGTGGTATTGTGGTCTCATAATTTTGTTCGTACAGTTACTCATTGTATTCTTTGCATTTCAAGTCCTTTATGTGCCTTTACTGTGTTCAGAGATCAGAGATCGTACATAAGGAAGAGTATGCACTCCTCGTTATATGTACCTATCTTTAACATGCATGGTCTTTTGTATTTATTTAATTCATTTGTACCCTGCCTCCCTCCCCAGTGGGGACCCATTAAGGCTATTTCTTAAATTCTTTTTTTTCATCAAAAGGTCTCCATGTAACTCACAAAGTAATAAAATCCAATTGTTAAATATACTGTCAAAATATAATGTCAAACCAAAGTAATAAAATACAATTGTTGAATATAATGTCTACATTAAAATAAAGTAATAAAATAGAATTGTTGAATATAATCTCAACATTAATCTGTTGAATATAATCTCAACATTAATCTGTTAGATAAGATCATCAAACATATCATCAGTAGGAGACACTATGCAATATTAACTTAGCTGCTTAGATTTGGCAAAATAAAGTTGTTTTTGTATAGCCTAGCCAATAGTACAGATTGGCGTTTCTTATTAAAGAGGGAGTTTCATAAACTGAAATGCCACTGCTGACTATCCTTGCCTCAGCAGGCTAGGGCAAATGAAGAAAAGTATCTTCTCCCAGTCTTAAAACATGGAGTAGGACATATATGGGGAAGCATATATTATAGCTTCTGTGCATTTAGATTCAGTTCTCAGGTAAACTGTCATAGTCTGGATCAGCTACAATATCAGAACTGTAAAGCATATATATTAGAAAAATTGCAGCGTAGCATGAGCATAGAAAACATTAAAGGGTGGGGTTTCTACAGCTGGAACAACTTACTACCTACAGAAGGATACAGCTGGCAGCACAGCTAAGGCTGCTTAAAAGCATGGCAGGTCACAACTGCCACTAGAGAGTCCAGAAGCAGGCCTTTATTGAAAACATGCCTAAAATGCAAACTTGTTCCTTTTGGAGAAGTGTGACCCTCCCATCCAGAATAAGCATATCCATCTCCACTTCTATCAGTGAACTATTCACCATAAGCATCTCCCATCTTCAGCATCAGTTTATTTACCTTCCTCTTCTCTGTTATTGATTTCAAGCAGCCATACAGAGACCTTCCAGCCAAAAACATGCATTAGGATCCATATGGAACTACATTTTTGAGAGCCTACTATGTGGTACTGGCCATGGCTAATATGCTGTCAGCATTCTGCATTATCTAGGTCAGCATGGTGCCCATCAGTGTTTTTCCTGGTGCCCATCAGTGTTTTTCCTGATTCCCACTTGCTTCCCCCCCAAAAAAACCCCTTTCACAACTGCCTCCCATAGCAGCTATTTTATGGTGTTGCCCACTAACCTTTCTCAAAGCTCTAAAACTGCCCAAATTGTTGAGGTCCCCCTGAATCTTGGTTATTAAAAAACTGGATGGCCTTAGAGTCCATCACATTCTGGATTTATTCACACATGGGAGTGATCCTCTGATGATCAGTAAAAGGGAGAAATAGAGTTGAATGTCATCAGCAAACTGATGGTAGTTGGCTCCAGATAGTCAGATGGACCTCTCCACTGGCTTCATGTAGATGTGGGATATGGAATAGAAACTTATGAAGCCCTGCAGGACAAGTGTGACAGGAAGGAATAGTAATAGTCTGGCTGCGGAAACCTGGCAAAGTGGAAGTGGAACCACTGCAAACCAAAGGGTCCAGTAGGATACTAAAGCTGATTACCCACTAAGGCAACCAAAGCCATTTCAGTCCTGAATTCTACCTGACACCAGACTGACATGGATCCAAATTCAAAAGAGATTGAATATAAGTGCAAAGTGATGTACATTGCCCACGTGCAGGTGAAAATCCTAACTTAATATATTAAGTGTCTGTGACTATCTAGGAATCATACCTTGGATTGAGAACATCACCTCATCAGCAGTGAGCCAGGGAAATCCAATGTTGGGACTTTTAAGAAAGGGGTTGAGAATACAATAACCAGTATAATCCATTTATGTAATTGTCTAATTTTCTGCTACAAGATGTGGCAATCATCACTGGTTTAAACAATGTAAAAGGATTGGAAATAGTCATGGAGGACAGGTATATCCAAAGCTATTCAGGAGCAGTATGGTCTTATCCTGCAGGATTTCTTTCTCTTTTTTGGTGCATTCTTATTATTGCAACTTTAGCCAAAAATTGAGGTTTTAACACAGACCCTTAATTGC